TTTATCGAATTTTCATTCCTTGGTATCAGTAAATGTAAATAAATCCAGTTTTTGTGTGATTTTTAAGATAGGCACTAAAAGTTTGTTTTTGATCTCATATTATTTAATTATATATTCTTAAAACAGATTTCCTGCAAATTCTCCACTTAAAGCTCTTCCACGAAGGCATCCAGAATTAAGAAAAAACAGCATTGATAATTTTTCCAAAGATAAAGACAGTATTTTTAAATTACGAAACTTATCTCACAGAACTCCTAAAAAGCATGGATTACTATTCTTTCAGGTAAAACATCCTTTTTACTAATCACTAATTTAAATATAATCACTGTGTGCTTAATAATATCATTAAAAGTAAATGGTTCATTAATATTTGAGGCCAATGGTTGAAATCTTAACCTACATTATATTCTTAAAATGTATATGTAAATTTGTTTGGAATCCATAGAAAAAATGGTAGTGAGACATACTTGAAAAAGTAATAGTATAATTTAAGCATGTTTTATTTGAAATTTATTTGAGGGTGGTAGGGGCAGTTGCAAAACCAAAAGCTTTATCACCATATGTTACATTATTTCTTCAGGTGACACTTACATTATAGCTCCACAATGATGCTTTAATAGAATTACTAAATATTAAGTGTGGTATCTGTTCAATATATCCTTAATTTGAGCATAACATATTAAACCAAAGTAATTCTTTTTTTCCAGGAAAATACAGAACACATGAACTGTGAAATAAACAATGAAGATCAAGAAAACTCAATTGATAATAGAGAAATAAGCCAGAAAGACGTTGAAGAAGTTTGGAGATATAGTATTCTGATCTAGTAAGCTAAAACTAAGCTATAGCCAACTTCCGAAGATATTTAGAATGTTAATTTGACATTTTCATCAAGATATTTAAGTGGAAAAAAAAAGCCAAAAAACAGAATTATTCTCAAAGCTTACGATTTAACCTGTATATATGTTTCTTAATAAGTGATCTTATTATAGTACTAGTACAGTAGGAATAGGATGTTTTCAGTATGATTTGCTTTTTTTTTAGTCAAAGTTATACCTACAGTTTGGGTCCTATACTGGAATTCTTCAAAGGTTATTAAGATAAATATATTTGAAAGTGGATACTAAATATAAGCCTTCAAAATTTGGTTTCAGAAAAAACAAAATATTGTGAGGGTTTTGTTTGCCAATCAAACTCTCATATTTATATTTTATTCTACTTATTTTATGGAGAAAAAAAAACTTTGTATTCTTTTCTTCTGTTTAGCCTGCAAACGATTTTAGGTGTGTCATCCCTAGAAGAAGTCATAGATCCAAACCAAGTAATTCCTCAATATATAATGTACAGCATGACAAATACAAGCAAACATGGAGTAGTGATACTACAAGACAAATCAGGTTGGTATCAGTAAAAGAAGTTGGAATGTTTTTAAACTTGATAACAAAGGTTGCAGCTGTTGTGGGTATACAGAGACCACACTGTAGAAAGTAGAATACTTTAACTGGGAGAACATCAGGGAGACTATTGTTTTATCATAGGTGCTTTAGCAATCACAGTGGAATAATTTTAAGGTGAATATTATATATAGTATTATTTTAGCTCTTAAGGTAAATTCATGATTTTTTTTTTAAATGGCAAGGTTAAACATCCAAAACGTATGTAAATATAATTAAAACTATTGATTAACCACATTGAGGACCTATAATGTGCCAGGCATTGTTCTAAAGATTTAGTGATGAACAAGAGGGAAATGGCCCATGCCTTCCTGGAGCTTACATAAGTAGTAATATACAAGTTTAAAGGGGCCAAGACATATGTACATAAAACCAAAGTAACACACAATACAATAATCCCAAACTCTTAAGGACCAGTATTCTAAAGATCACTGGCTTTGTATTTATTTATTTATATGTTTATTTATTTATTTATATAATGTGTTGATTTCAGGTATAAGATAGGAAAATTAGGGAAGTAATTTAAGCTAGATGTATAAGAAAACTTAGATTATAAGAAAAGTATCAAATCTATTCAAAATGTCATTTTTTTATAATCAGTTGCTCTCTACAGAATTAATTGACATGCATTACTTTGTGTTTCTTTGCGTGGGCAAGAACTTTGAGGTTTTAATTGTAGGAGCAAATAATAAATGTCAAAACGTAAGAGCTATGTTGTGTATGCAGTTGGCTTTGGACCATTCCCATCTTTCATCACCTAAAATAATTAACAGTATATGCTCTCATCCAAGCTTTCTATCCTTTATAACCATAAACTTTTCAAATCAAGTGTATGTGTGATTTTTATATATGCATCCAAAAACTGCTAGATTTTATGCAGCATATTTCAGTTAGAGGCAATTAAAATATTTGAAGCAAGCCTCACTGTGAAAGTACCACATATTCAAATATGGCTTGTTTCAGTCATAGGTCTCACTCAAATCAGGAAGACTCAAACAGCATAGCTATAGTCAGAATAGAAATGAGGATAAAGAATGTTAATTTATTTCTGAACCACCCCCCAAAAAATAATTAAACTTTGATTTAGGGGTAGCTAATTATTGTATGTATCATGGCATGAGTCAAACTCAAGATCTCTATAGCTTTTTAAACTTATATTTTAAAATAGTGTCTTGGCCCTATGTCTTGTTAAACATATAATTTTTAATCCTGGTAATACACATATACATACATATATGCATATATACATGTATAATTATATGTAATAACTGTTAAGTTTTAAATATGCTATCATAAAAATGTGACTTACTAAACAATGTTAATTTTTTTGTGTGTGTAGATGACCTTCCTCATTGGGTGTTATCTGCCATGAAGTGCCTAGCAAATTGTAAGTTAAACTGTGTGTGTGTGTGTGTGTGTGTGTGTGTGTGTGTNGCAAATACGGTAGATATATCACAGTATCATTAAATACACAGTGAACTTAAAGCTTACTTAATTTACTCTGTCTGTTCTATGTTCTCTATTGGAATCTTCACAGAAGGGATACTATACTAAATATATAAATAATTTTAATATTCAAAGTATTTTACCAGTGAAACTACTGCCGGCCATAAGTTTTATTTGGCCAGCAAGCACAGTTGTTACGAATGCAGGTTCTAGAGTCACTCAAATCTGGGTTTGAAGGTTTCATCACTTAGCTGTGTGACCTGGATCAAATGATTAAATCCCCCTGTGCTTCATATTCCTCATCTAAAAACAGGATAATAATAGTACCTATTCACAGCATTGTGAGAATTAAAGTGCAATAATGAATGTAAAGAATAGTATCTGACACAAGTGCTACCAGCATAATATTAATATTAGTTGAGATTTTTTTAAAAATAGGAATAAATGCTTTCTCTTTTGAGGACTAAAGGCTAGTTCATTGCAGTTCTTCATTAATCCTAGGTGTTCTAGATAAGCCACCCAGCCAATGAAGCGCTTTTAGTCAAACACTTTTACCAAAAAATACTATTACAATGGTAGAATTAATAAAAATAAATCAGTATGAGATATAAAATTGTCTATAGCACAAGTAAGATGAATGATTTCTTCATGAGTTTTTATGATGTAATCAGATGTAAAGGAAAAAATATTCTTTGCCTAATTTATTTCAAATCAGTAAGAAGTTTCATTTTTGTTTAAGCTTTTAAAAAATATTTTCCTTCTTTTTGCAGTGGAATGAAGTTACCGCATCTTTTCGAGCAGGAATGCCTCTAAGAAAACACAGGCTACATTTTAAAAAATATGGCAATTGTTTTACAGCAGAAGAAGCAGTGGATTGGCTTTATGACCTATTAAGAAATAATAGCAATTTTGGTCCTGAAGTTACAAGGCAACAGACTATCCAACTATTGAGAAAATTTCTTAAGAATCATGTAATTGAAGACATCAAAGGTAGATGGGGATCAGAAAATCTTGATGACAACAGTCAGCTATTCAGGTATTGAACAAAGAAATAACTGCATAACTGAATTACTTAACGATAAAGTTTAACTCCACTTCTATTATGCTCTTACTAAAACAGCAGTTTCTTCAGGAGAAGTGATGTTTTCAATAGAGAACTCTTCTTAGTCCAATGAAGACCATTTAGAAGTTAAATGCAGTTAAAGTTAACAGCTTCACAATTCAAAGTTTTAAAACGTTAGATAGTATATACGCGTATAATAGAATAGAGAATTGGGAAGAAAGAGTGAAATATTATATTACTTTGTATTCTGAAAGCTGTATAACATTTCAAAGACAGATCATTATTAACCTTTAGTTTCACAGAATCAAAAATTACAAGACAAATTATCACAGGTTCTTGCCTTCAAGTAACATATATTCTTTTTTTNCCATTCCTAAGAATGTAGCCTGTACCTACCCTGCCATCCCCCCCCAGCCCCCCCCCCACACACACACACACTTCCTCCAAATTGTTTAAGGAATCCAAGGAATCAACATTTTAACAAGTACCCAGGTGATTCTAATGCAGGCGGTTTATACCCCACCTGAGAAATCCTGATGTAAGGGAATAAGGAAAAGATAATAAAGTGAATCCTAAAAACTTGATAATGAGAGAAATAAAATTACTTCCAAGAATCAAACTATGAAATCGATAAAGTTGGTAAGAGCAAAATTATCTTAAAGAAACCCAAACATCCACTTTTCACAAAACTCTGACTTTTAGATATTTTCTTGTCTAAAGAAACTGTCAGTATGAATGTGGATGATGCAGTGAGTCCATAAACAATATGGAAGCACCTAAAAGGAGTCTCAGGGGCTTTCTCAAGATGTGACACCGACGACATCTCTTTGCACGCCTTTATAGAACCAAGTGCTTGTACCCATTGGTTCTGTTCAGAAAATATATGTATCTCCATCTAATCAATCGTTAAGTTCGATAGCCAAGGTAAACTCTACTGAGAGGGACCAAAGTTTCACCACCCCAAAATATGCCATTTGGGATACTGATTTTAAGCTGTTAAGAAACAAAGGACTCAGAAAGAACCCTTGACCCTCCCCCCATCCCCCCTAGTTGCCTAAAGGAATTCAGGTAGAAAAAACCGCTTCAAGGAAGGAAACATCACCTTAGCCTCATAATATAAACTAAATATGGCAGACCGGGACAAATCTAACAAAGCCTGTTTGCTGAACTTCCTTCTGTATACACTGTTTCTGGGTGGCCCAGGAAGAATTTGTTGACCACGTTTCCTCTTTTTTGTCTACCTGTAAATTACTGGCTTTCCCTTTGAAATCCCAGATCTCTGCCTCCCTCTCCTTCATCCAGAATGGCATATAAGCCTCAACCGCCCAATGCCTCCGTGAGTCCAGGTCCTTATGGCACCCGCGCCTGTACATCCATAATAAATTTTGGGCATTTTCTCCTGTTTAATCTGTCTCATATAAATTTGGTTACCCCAGCTAGAGCTTAGAAGGTGGGAGGAAAATTATTTTTGGTGTCCTCCCACTGCAGACCATTATACCACTCCTCTCTTGAGCATTTTCTCTTACCTCTTCTTTTTACTAAGTCATGACCTTTCAAATTGCTGCTTAATTTCCAAACTCATTCCTCCACAGCTCCACATCACTCAAGCAACCTCTCAATCTTCTATACTAAACGACTCCTTGGCATCAAATAGTTTCAGGTAGTGATAGAGTGTTTATTACAACAGGATCTGAGCCTTTGGGCAAGTCTCTTCAAAGCTCGGAACTTAGTTTTTGTAATTTGAAAAACTGCAGATTTCTAAAATCCCGTTAAGTCTATAATCATGATTTAAACTTAAACAGGATTCTTATATAAAGATATGGCAGATCTTCTAAAGAGAAGCGATTTGGCAAGTTTTACAGAACCTTTCCCAAGCCCCTTACTGTACTCATGGATATCACCTGCCTCTTGCTCCATTTCATGCCGAATTAAGGGAAGTTTAACCTACCTTTTTGCACTGGGGAGAACGGAACGATGGCTCCTGCTAAAATGTACGAGGGTGATAGCATTGCAACAAATACCAAGGAAGCTTTTTTAGAAGGAAAACCACGGATTTTGTCAATTGAAAGCTACGAACCAGAGATGCGCTGTTTTTTACATGCTAACCACTGCTGAAGATGCTTTAGGGCCAGGCAGAAAAGGCTTGGGTTTGTTTCGGGTTTTTTCTTTGCACATTTCAAATTCCCTTAAACCAAAAGCTGGGCTCCAATCAATCCTGCCTGGGACTAAACATCCTCACCCGTTCTGAGTGTGGAAACATGACTCTTCCTCGCCAACGACCGCAAGAGGGAGAAGCAGCTCCAAGGACGCCGGGTGAGGCCGGGGGTGTATCTCACCAGCCCGGCCCCGAGCCGACCAGCCAGCGCCAGCCACCCGCTCCACCAGCCACGGCCGGGAGGGGCTCCACCGCCCACGCCGGCTACGGCCCGGACTGCGGCACGTCACGTGATCCGACGGCGTAGCCAATCAGCGCAGCCTCTGCAGTATTCAAATCGGCGGCGGGGCTGACGGTTGTACGGAGCGACGCTGACATGTGGGCAGCGATGGGAATGTAGCTTTCCGCCGCCGTGCGCTGCCCTGGCCGCTGACGGACCTCCGGCAGCCTGGGTGGGCGCAATGGAGAACCGGAGTGTGCCTCCTGGGCCTTATCGGGCCACCAAGCTGGTAAGACAGCGCGGAACGACGAGTCTGGCCAGCCGGGTGATGGCCGCCATCACGTTTACATGCGAACGTTTATAGTTTTAACTTTGGGCGGAGGAATGGATCCCAGAGCCTCTGGGTTCGCTGACAAGAATCGAAAGGAATGAACCGATATCGCAAAACCCTTGCGGGACGGGTCGGCCCCCCCTCCTTTGCTCCGGATGCCCCGCGATGGCGCGTCACACTCACGCCTGGTTAGGAGGCGCCTGTTCCGGGTATCGTCGGCGTCCCCTGGAATGTCACACAATGTTCCGAGTGTAGCCGCTCCCCACGCCTGATCTGCCTCCATCAGGATTCGAGAGGAATTTAGAACGAGCTCCAGGGCTTGGTAGGGTCCGACTGGGGGCAGGCCCACAGGCGACAGCTTCGTTCTGCTGTCCCGGTAGAATGTAAGGCAGGATGCACCAACTCAGGGCCACCAGGTAACGGCTGATTATTTCAAAACTAAGCCCAGAATATTTGAGATACCCATCGGGCACCACTGTTGGTAGTCACTGGGTTTGTACTTGTATACGGTGTCTCGCTCATTGGGATCTTCGTCTAGAGGATCCCATGCCACCGGTTGTGTGACATCAGGAGAGTCGCTTAACTTCTGTGAACCTCAGTTTCCACGGTGGTACAGTAGGGCTGATGATACATGGCCACCCTAAGATTTTTCAGAGAGGATACTGTATGCGAAAGTGTTTTCCGATCTGTAGAATTTAAAAAACACTACCCTCTGGGGGGCATTTGGTTCGAATCCCACCTCTCTGAGGATCTGTGGAGAGCCTTTCTCTTGCACCTCTTTTCTCTTACACTTTTGCAGTAAAACTGCTACTGCTTAAACCTTGAACAAAAAAACAAAACAAACAAAAAAACTTTATCCTCTGGATGAATTGCAGCTCAGTATGTTTCTTGAATAAATTCATATCCAAAATGTGGAAAGAAAATAATACAGTTATTGTGTTTTCAGCCATTAAATTTTGCATTGTGATGTTGGGGACACAGGTCAGGTAAGTGATAACATAGCTAGCTAGCTGTGACCTCTAATGTAGGATTTTTTTATTAAAAAGTGATGTGCTTTTTCTACACCACCATCTTCATGCTCTACTGGTAAAGCTGCTATAAGCCTAAACG